ACACACACTTTTCCTTGGTTTTAAAATCCTTTTTCTATTCTCTCTTCCTTTAGTTATCCCTTTTTTTCCGGCCTTTCTCTTTGTGCTTTCTTCGTACCCTTTGCAGTGTGGACTTTGCCTATATCCCTGTGTGTGTGTGTTCGTGCCACGCCTGCAATATTTTGTTTTTGCGAAAAGTTTTCTGGTATTTTCGGTAGTGGGTGGCAACCCTAAGTGCACTCTCTGTTTTCAGTTGTCGGAATTGGGAGGTCTAAATTGCAAGCCTAATAAAACAAACAACTGACAATGGTGTATGGACTTTTAAAAATATTTTAAAATATTTCAAGTTTCCACGGAAAACAACTTTTCTTCATTTAACCTTCCTTTGATTTATGATTAATAAAAGTGCAGTTTAGATTGGTTTTTATTTTATAATCTTCGGGAAAATTTAAAGCCTTTCTTTTTGTCAGTTTTTGCATCAGTTTCTCCATCTCTGACCAGGTGCAACCCTTCACTAATTTCAGCTGAATTCGTTTTGCTTAGTTTTCCTGTCGACGGTTGTCTGATGTTGCTATTGCTGTTGCTGCTGCTGTTGCTCTTGGTGATGGTGTTGCTGCCTATTGCTGTTGGTCATTGGCCTGTTTTGTCGTTTGTGTTGCGTCGGTCAGTTTTCGGTTGCCATAGAGCAACATTGCCAAAGACTACTGCAACAACGGCAGCAACATCATTACGAATGGCAGCAACAACAGCAGCAACAACAGCAGCAGAAAATTAAATAGTTAAGGTATGAGACACCAGTAAAAGAAACTTTTAAAAATATTAGCAGCAAATATATAAGAAAAGCCATAAATAATATATAAAAACTGCAAGTAACAACGCGGCATTACCTAGAAAAAATGCGTTAGCAACAGCAGCAACATTACTAGGAGTTGAAGTCGCAAAAGCTTAAATATCAAGTGCAGTATTAGTAATAAAAAAAAAAATAACAGCAGCCACAATATAAGGAACATTAGAAGCAACAACATAAGTAATGTTGGTAACTATACGCGATACAGCAGCAACATGAGTAGAAATGACCACAAAAAACAGCATCAGCATCAGCAACAGCAGCAACATAAGGAATAACAGGAGCAACAACAACAACAACAAGGGGCAACAGCAACAACAACACCTTAAATTGCGCACTTTGCGTTGCGATTTTCAACATTTGCAATGGGCTGATGTTGTTGTTGCAGCGGCTGAGACGACGACAACATCGCTGGTTGCTAGTTGCCGGTTGCTGGTTGCTAGTTGCTGCTGGCTGGCTGTTAGTAGTTGTTGTTGTTGTTGCTGCTGCTGCTGCCTAGGTTCACATTCTCATTACAGTTCATTCACCCAAAAGATACGGCTTTATGTATCTATTAGTTATGTATGTGCCTCACAGCCTTCAGTTCAGTTCAGTTAAGTTTTGTTGTTGCTGTCGCTGTTGCCATTGCTGCTGCAGCTTGCCCCATCGACAGCAGCAACAGCAATAGCAAAAGCAACAGCAACAACAGCATCGACAGCCTCCGCCTGCAGTTTCAGCCAAGTTTTGATTTGTGTTATGTTGTAGATACACACGTACAAACACACACACATATGCGCGAACCGGAGGCAGCAGCCGCAAATGCAGATACAACAGATACAGATACATTCCTCTTGACCATCTGTCGTCGTCTTCGTCGTCATCTGTCTCACCTCTGCCCCCCTCGTAGCCGCTCCAGCTCGCCTTCACCCTCACACTCTCCTCAAGTCAAAGTTTCGCATTGTTCATCTGAACACAAAAAATAAAAGATTGTGCAAAAAAAAAAAAAACACTCTACAAAGTTGGTTTTCAACTCTCAGATACTTTTCCAGTCATTTGAGTTGCAATTGCCTATTATCTACATATTTCAAATTGTTCAATGTACGAGTATTTAAACAATAATTAAAATTGCTAAAAGTAGTTCAGAATAATTAAAAACCTTTAAGATAAATTAGAAATTCACATAAAGTTCGTTAGGAAAAATACAAAAAGTCGTATATAATTATAAAATCAAACTGCTTTTCATTATTGTGACTAAAATTTGGACTTCTTTATAGAAAATGAAAACGATTAAGTCAAATTGGGTTACCTAGAATATATTTTATTGCCTTAACAAAATATTGTTTATTTAATTATTTATATTTATATTACTAACAAAGTCTATGATTCTCTTGTTTGCAGGTGAGTTTCCTTGTTCGATTTACGTAATATAGGACCAACCTTTAAGCAATTCATTTCCAATTGGTAAGAGATTTGTTTTAAGGATATTAAGGATATGATATAAAATTGTCTTCATTGATTTATAATAAGATCATAGAACATCAAAATACACTTGGATAAGAGTTAGAAGTTGATTATTTTTCACCATTTCACCAATGATATCACATTTTTTTCTTTTCACTTTTGCTCCTCGTATAAATCTCTATTCGCTAGAAAAAATTTTTGGCGAAAATTTCAACCAATTTTTATTGTTGTTTTTGTCGTTTCATTTTTGGTTTATTTTTTTTTATGTTTCGCTGAAAATTGAAGAGCTAGTAGAAAGAGAGCTCTTTTTTCATCTATCTAACATTCCCCCCCCTTTTAGGATTTTTCCACCTTCTCACTTTTCACGGCGGGCTTAGTTTTCCAATGTGCAACATGCAGCATCTGTGGCAGAAAGAGACCCAGCTTTAGAGAGCAAAAGAGAGACAGAGAGGTAGAAAGAGAAATGGAGGTGGAAAGTGGAGACTGCCATTTCCAGTGTGTATTTAGCAAAATGTTTTGTTGCTGTTGTAGTTTAGTTTTCCCACTTCCAGGCAGCAGTCAACTGCTGCAACTGCAACAGCAACAACAACAACAACAACTACAACAACAGCAATAGCAACAGCAAACTAACAACCTGCAACACCAACAATCTGCAACCTGCAACAACAAAAGGGACTCAAAACTCAACACAGAGCTTTTCGAACAGCCTCAGTGCCTCGGTTTTGTGTCTATTACATACACGAGAAAACCTCCCCATCTCCCGCTTGTAAGCCTCCTGCTACTGAAAACCCCCCTTGGAATTTTCCAAACCCTCCACTTCTATCCTCCACCCGTTCACCCTTTTTGTTAGCCAAATGCAACCAAACAACCATGATGACGAGCTAACGGTGGCAATGCCTCGCCCTAGAAAATCCCCTACCACCCCATACACCCACCAACTCCCTCTTCCCACCACCATTTAGGGGCACTTTGATTTGTGGACCCCCTCCTTTGACCCACCCACCACCGCCACCGTCCCTGGGAGCTTAGTATAGTTTTTGGGTATACATAAATCAAAACCTTCTTGCAGTCCATCGGCGATTTTGCAACATTTTTTTTGCAGGCAAATGAAATGGAGGAAAAATTCCAAAGTCGCTGAAAATGGTTAAAGAAAAGTGTTGAAACACTTTAAAGGAAAAAATTATTCGTATAATAAGATTTTTAAAAATATTTCTATAAGTCTTGGCTTAAACTATCCATCTGTACCATCTAATTTTATTGCCCCTTTCGAGTGTAAATTGATTGAAAACAAGAATTAGGTTTCAAACACCTAGCAATTTAGCTGTCCTAGCCATTGCTTTGTCTTTCCATCAAACATCAGCTTTAACCCTTAACTTGGGTAATCCAATTCTCGGTCTTAACACGGCCACCCTTAACCCTTTCAAGTTGGTCCTTCTTCCCTTAGGTGAACATTGGGAATTACTCACGTAACTTAACCAAACGTTGAGGGGGGGAATCACATAATCACTCGATTCCGAGTCAACACACGTTGATGTTGGGTAACTCCTCATAATTCCTTCTGGTCAAAATCTTTTGTTTTAGACCCCAGAAGTGCGAGGGAGATGGTCAAAATGAGAGAGTGAGATAGTGATAGATCAGGAGAGAGACCAGCAAATTGGCAACACTCACACACATCGAGAGGTTTGGCTAATAAGTGAAGTATCCATAATTGTTTGATGGGAATAGGGGGCGTGGCACCCCGGTACCATCAAATTTGCTGCAATCCAGAAATCATAACTCTCCACAATGGCGACTCTTGAAACAGTTGTGGTCAAGATATTAGCAGTTACAAACATTACTTAAAACATTCGCATAATCTTTAAATATGATAGATAAAAATATATTTCATGCTTCAGCTTACAATATTCCATTGTTATTAAGATCTATGTTTGAAATACGTTTAACTTTCCATCTGCAATAATAAGATTAATTTACCAAACCCTTAACAATCAATATTCAATATCGACAATATCGATGGTTATAATATAATTATCGATGATTTTTTACTTTTTCATTTATTGCTATTACTTTGAGCACAGCTGTTGAAGCCAAACTATTGAAATGTTGGAACACTCTGGCCTTTTGTATCTTTGTATCGGTGTGTGGCTCTGTTTCATATCTGTGTGGGTATATCCTGGCAAAGGTGTGTGTGTGTGTGTGTGTGTGTGCAGCGCGCGCATCCTGCACTCATGCAACTCACGCATCCCACACACACTGGCACAAATGGACATGAGAAGCTCAAGGAACAAGCGGCGTCCTCAATCAGGAATTTCTAGGCGGAAAATGGGTAGGGAAAATAGCGATGGTGTGGGGTGATAGGGTGTTCGGATGGCGAATCGTTGGAGGATTGGTGGAAAATCGTGGAAAATTTTCGGCAGCCGCCAACCCATTAACACGATGGCTACGTTGACGATGACGATATGACGAGCAGCGCAACTCCACTTCGGTTGGCTGGTTTTGTTTGTCGTCGCTTTTTGGGCTGTGCCTTTGTGTTAATATTACGGCAGGCACTGGAACTGGACCCTGAGAACCCCCCTGCATCTGCATGTGTACATCTATGTATAAGTATAGACGAAATATTCACTTATACATGTACATATTGCTATTTATATACCAGATCCTTGATGTCCTCGAAAATGGCAAGTGTAAAAGAATAATAAATCTCGTATGTTGTTTGTAATCATATCTATGCATTTGACCATCTGCAGGATATGTATACCTTTATAAAACTACTGTTACTTTTTACAATATAATTTTGAAAGTGTTGAAAAATCATATTAACAGTTAAGTTTAAAGAAAAGAATAGAAGCACTTTTGGTCGTTTAAATGATTAAAAAAAACCTTATATAATTTTATCTACATATAACATAACTAAATATTTCTTGGTCTGTACATTTTTGGCAAAACGTCAATGACCAAATATTCCTGTCCAAAAGTCTGACACTTTGCAATTAACTCTAACTAACATAAGTCGTCGCTTATGTGGCATAATGAGTGTGTTAAGAGGCTTACTCTCTACTTTTCACCTTATGAATTTTGAGGATTTTCTTGATTTTTTTTTGTAGATTTTGGTGTCTATATGTGCCTGGGATCTCTTTTCTCTATGTGCATCATACGAGATTTTTGTCCCTTATTTTGGTTTTGATTTAAGTAATACGTGTATGGTATACTGGACGTCTTTTACCTTGGTTATCAAAATTTTTGACACTTGTCCCCTGTTCTTTTTAAGCTGTATTTTCCGGAAAATGTTTAGTTTTATTTTGAGTAAATTCCTCTGTGTTGTACTGGAAAGTGTTTTACTGTGCGTTTTTCAACCAACATTTTGTGCTCCAGCTTTGAAGCCCCCGTACATACACATTTTTGCCTTTTTCTCCTACTTTTCAGTGCTGAGTTTTCCTGCCTTTATGGTTCTTGTTTGCCCACACACGTTTCCTGCCCTTAACCTCCTCTCTGTTCTCCTCCCGTTTTCCTTTCTATATTCTCATCATTTTATCCCACCAACCACCCTTTACTCCCCATTTTTCGCCCACAATTTTCCTGCACTTTTTGCCTGTTTTTGCAGCCGTCCTTTGGCTTTTGTCAGCTGTTGCAGCAGCTTCGGGCAATCCTTTCTTCTTCTTTTTTTTTTCTCCACCCCCCCCAAGTTGGCAACCACTTTTTCACACATGGAAAACCCATTTCCAATATATTCTGGAACCTATTTTTCCGATTTTCGGGTGAGTTTATTAAAATGTTTTTTGATGAGATATTGGCCAGATGTATTTTTTCCCCTTTTCCTTTTCCACATTTGCTTAACACCCTTTAACCCGCTTATCCGCCTCTTATTTAACCCTCTTTTTTCCTGCACTTCATTTTGCATCGTGTGGGGAGGGGATCAACGCAGAGTGGTGGGTAAAGAGGGGGATTTTAGGGGGATATTGCACTTCGGTTTTGCGTTCGTTACCGTTGTCACGAGCCAAAAATTGTGCGCTGATTCTATTTTGTGTGTGTCCATAACTCAGCAACTACCCAGCCGGGGCTATTACACCCTTCTCTTTCGAACCGCTGCCAGTATACGGCTAGCCCCCTCTCTTTTGCACGGCCACTGTTGCCATCTCTTTCATCGAGGGGCAGATGATGATGAAGAAGCAGAGGCGTCTCTGGAGAGAGAGAAAGGCTTTCTCGCATCCAGAAGTTGTTGCCACTTTAAGTTGGTACCGTTCGCTGTCGTTTGTCGTTGTCGGGTTAACGGTATCCTAAAGAAACACACAAACACACACACTATCATACCACACCCACACTTTAAAAACACACCCACATACCCACAAATGCAACCGAGATAATAGCCGGAAAAGCCGCCTTAAGACAAAGGAAGTCCCAAAACAAAAAAAAAAAAAAGAAAAGAAAAGAAAAGAAAAGCCAACAAATAAGAGGGAGGCTACATGATACTCAGAAATCTGCTGGTAAATATTAATTACCAAAAATCTACCAAAAACAAAGAAAACCAAACAAAAAAGGACCCAAAATTTACTTTTACTTGTAAAGTTTTAGTGAGAGTGTGTGTTTGTCGGTGGGTGTTTGAGTATATGTGTGTGTGTGGTGTGTATATAGATAGACGATTGACTAAATGAATGTCCAGCAACAAGTGGCAAAATCTAGATTGTGGCTAGAGATGAGACTTTAAATGATATCGAAAATAATTAACCGCAAATTAATCGAAAGAAAGAAAAATCGTTACCTAAGTCGTAAACAGTCTAGAGTTTAAAGTAAAATTGCTTTTCTATTAAAACTAATTTGATTATTGTGAAAATATTTACAAATCTTATTATTGTTTCTTTTATCGTTTTATATTGCACTTAAACTTATGTTTGTACTAGTAATTATATTAATAATTATTTTATTACAAACGTAAATTGTGGAAATGTACAAAAATGTAATTTATTAACCTTATGAAAACATCAAACCGAAACTAGTAACGAAAGTTCAACTGGCGTACAAGTAAAAGTTAATTGATAAGCATGAACTTACAACTTGCAAGTCAAATTAATGCTAATTGAAAGTAGCTCTTAACCTTTAAACCTTTAGCGTATGTGTATGTATACTCGTACGTTCATTTATATTTTAGTAAATTTGTTTTACAAGATGACCTAACTCAACCTAACCCCACTTCAAATCGTGATTGACTGTTGTTCGATTGCGGTTCGATTGGTGCTGCTTGTTTGCAACATGCAACATGCAACACGCAACGTGCAACACCAGCTTTCGCAAACTGTGTCACAGAGTTGCTTTTGCCTTGACTGCTTGTAGCTAACAGAACGAGTTGGGTTGATACGATTGTGAGTTGGAGGGGGCTATGGGGGGTATCTCAAACGAAAAGCGTGGCGGAAAATTCAGGAAAAAGCAGAAGCAACAAAGGGAGAAAACTGGAGTTGCAGATAGAGACGACAGACACTTGGCACTTTCCTATGAAAGGAGCACCGAAAGATGGGATTGCCAAGAGACGACATGCCTGTGGATATGGGCGCAGAAAAATACACCACTTGACAACAGTAGGGGGTAAAATATTAGGAACGACACATCAGGAAAATTAATTGGATAATAAATTCTATTGGAATGTAAATTAGGCTATAGGTGCTACAGTTTATCTTCAAATTACGAAATTTTAAATTAAAAATTAAATTCGATAAATATTATGTGTTAGGAATACCTCTGAAACTGTTTTAAAAGAATCTAATCCAATATTATTTTTAATGATATTCAATTCTTGTCCTATTTTCTTAACCGCCATTGTTTGGGCAGCGTTATTCCCACATTAGAACCTGATTTTGTGACCAAAGTTGGGAAAATGTATTAACAGAGTCCTTTCCTTCTCTTTTCTTCCCTCTTCTCTGGCTGCCCATTTTCCACGTTTACTCCGCCTCAACCTCCTCTGTTGCCCGCCCCCTTTACATTTTCCTCATTTTTCCCCTTTCCCTTGCCCGCTTTTCCTTTTATTTAGCGTGCTTTTTTCTTTCTTTCTTGTGCTTTTGGCTTTGGCTTCTTTTCTATTGCTGTCGCCGCCGTTCTGCTGACGCCTCTGTTGACGTTGGCAGAGCTGCACACACACACACAAACACACAGAGGTTGGGGCAACACACACACAGATACTCACCAATACCGACGCACGTATTTACTACATTCCTCAGTACTTGAAGCGCCTCCGGAAGTGATGGTTTTCATCTCTGCGGCGGTGCGTCGCGAATTTTGAGAGCGAAAAATAACAAAGCAGGAAAAAAACACAAAATTCAGTACAAGAATATCCAGAGTAAAAATGGTGAAAAATTAAGTAGTATTAGCGAGGAATTCGTTTGTTATTGCAGTTACCAGCCATTCATTAAATAAGGGAAAACAAGGGGATAACTCCCAGCCCAAATCGTTCGTTCGTTTTTTTCTGTGTGCACTTCACTTAGTTTTTCTGATTAAATATTCAAACAAACAAGAAAAGGAATATACATACATACTTCAAATTCGTAAAAAAAAAAAAACCAGCTTGTTATGTGTGTGTACGATTGTTGAAAATTGTGGAAAAAAAAACGAAAAAAAAAAAAAAACAAACGCAAAAGCCAGGAAAAATCAGCAGCCGAAGAATGCGCAGCAAACGAAATACTAGTGATTTGGGCCTATTGCAGCGCACCTGCATTGTTGGCGGAAAATCGGTGAGCTAATATCTACAAAAAAAAAAAAAAAACTTGGAGAAAAGAAAAAGCTATACAAATTAGGCAATTAAAATCGAAATGAATGGCTATTTATTGGCCATTTAATGACCATTTCAACGGAAAAACTAAAAATAGAAAGGGAAATTATAGTCCGGTAAATTGCAGATTACTAAACCAATTTTAGTCCAAACAAAATCCAAAAAATAGTCTTTCAAATTTGTAAAAGTAAGCAATTACCAAAAATCAATCAATAAAATTAAATTAAATTAACAAAAAAAAAAACACCAAGATGTTTAGGTTGTTGTTATCAAAACAAAGTTTTCTTTTTACAAAAAAAAAGCGATAAATACTTAAAGATGTCATTTACTTTGAGTGTACAATTTTTATATATCCGAAAACTAGGTCAAATTTATTAAACTAGATATTATATTTTGCTAACATATAAAATAAACAAGACTGATAAACTAAACTAAGACTAAATAAATTATAATACCAGTATTTTCAAAATTTTAGTGTATATAACTACAACATTTTAGTGAATTAACATATTTTTATTTACGACGGATAAATAATATGCTATATAACGTGTAAATTAATGTAAATCTTTCATATTTTTTAATTGTTGAAAATTTTTAGGAAATCACTAATCATTTTCTTAAAAAATTAAAATTTTATTAATTAAATTATGAAATTTAATATCAGCTTTAGTGAATTGAAATAGTAGTCCTACTTTTTCTCATCTCGTAATCAATTGAACACAAATTTAAACGAACTAAAACAAACAAAGTTTTATAATAACAAACCCATTGATTTTCAGTTGAAAACTAATCGCCCAAATATCTTTTTGTTTTCATTTGGCAAATCTACAAATGAAATCAAGACGCCAACAACAAAAATCCCATTCATTTCTATGCCAGAAATTAATAATTAGACAGAGTTTTTCGCGTCTCTTTCCCGCCCCGGAGTTTTATCCCATAAGCCAAAACATGCGCAAGAGCAAGTCAGCGAGTTGAGAAGAGACCGAGACTGAGAGTGAGAGAGAGATTCCCACTCGCTGCTTTTCTCTATGTCGCTAACTCTCTCGTACTTCTCTACTCTCTGCACTTCTCTTTTTCTTTTCAAGCTGCTGCTGCTGTCTGACGTTTTTTGTCGCCGCTGGGCGCCTGTTACTTTCTGTAGACTGCAGCGTCATTGCAGCGGCGCTGGTCTCTTCTTTTTCTTCTTAAATAATCTCTTTTTGGTATTTTTAACAGCAGCACAGCTACGAATCCAATTTCACAAAACGTGAAGCGCACCGACACGCCAAAACGTAAAAGTAAAACGTAAAGCGAAAAACCGCAACAGACTTTAACAACAAAAAGAATGTGGACGACATCAGTCAGGCACAGACACACAGTTAAAGACCTGGCGCTAGAACGAGACAGCAAGACACAGAAGAGCGGCAGCTGATTGTTTTTACTGTCCGCTGGGGGCGCTAATTTGCATAACGCGACTCTGGCTCCCACAGTCTATAAAACAGGCGTTGTGCAGTGGGCACTACGTAAGATTGTTAACGTCGAAAATATAATATTTGTATGATTTTAAAATATTGAATTGTCTGCATTAAAATCGTTGGAATCTTCCCTATAAAGAAAACATGCATTCCATTAGAACGACATACATCCTGAAGTATTTGTATAATGGTTTATAAATACTAAGTTTGTTGGACTTTCTAAATTCCTATTGAGCTACCACTGTACTCGTCTGATTTATGGAAAAAGACAGCAAATGCCAGCTAACCGCATAACAGATGACAAATATGTCATTTTTGGCAAGCCAATTAACATGATTTATACAATTTCCATCGTGCTCTTGGTTCTTATTCATTTTCCGAGTTTTTCTACCCGCATATATGTACATATGTACATAATTACAACACATTTTCTCGTGGTTGCTTATTTCTCATTTTTAGTTCGGCGAGAATATTTGTGTTGCATTAATGCCATTTAAAATATTGCCATCACCATCATCATGATTATCATCATCTTGTTTGTTATTTTCACTCGCTGCTCGGTGGAATTTTTGAAATTTTTTCGGTAGATATTCGCCTGCTGTCGATTTCTTAACACCCGGTATTTCGCATTTGCGACATACAACAAATACCATGCGAAATCGCTCATAAATCGGGTGTAGGCAAATATTAGCTGATTTTCGTGCTAGGGATTAGTTGTAAACCGACAAAATAAAATACCGAATCGGGCGAAACATAAAGAGTTTAATTTTCCCCACCGACATTTGTCATTGAGAGCTTACGTCCGTCGCACTCCTAACGGAACCCAAAAACCCGGCCAGAGAGCGAGAGAGATGGCTAACCACTTGCCGAGCAAATTATAACAGTGTTTGTTTGTAGAGCAGGGGAGATAGCGACGAAGAGTGCAAGCGTGGGAGTGAGTGCAAGCGGTTTAGGGTTGTCAATTCCTTTTTTTTTTGACTAATATAACATTGCTTAAAAATGTTATAATCAGCATGTTTACAATCTATAAAAAGAAACAACAACTTTTAAATATTTTGAATTGAAATGAACACAAAATATTCTTTTTCATATTAAACAGAATATTTTGTAATTTATCAGGTGTTTGGAATGACGTTTGGCAACCCTTTGCCATTCTTGCTCATCCACTATGCTTCTCTTTCAGTCTCTGTCCGTCTTGCTCGCTCATTGGCCCACATCTCACAACCGGCGAGTGTTTCGCTGCGGTCAACGTTTTGCTCTTCGGTTCTCCTGCTCTCTCGCTGTTTGCCTGTTAAATTGGCGGTTAGACGCGCGCGTCAGGTAGAAAACACGTATCCGCCACGGATGCAGCAGCGTGGGGTGGACGACGGCGACGACAGCGACGCTTCCTATTTCTATTCTCAGCGGTGGTTGTTTGTCTGGTTTTAATTTGTTCCCTGTTTCTGTTGGTTTTTTTTTTGTGTCGGTCTGCTTATCAGCGGCAAGTTTATCGATTTTTTTTCCAGCTCTCACTCTCTTTGCGTCTTGCCCACTCTTCATTATATCCCGCACCATTCCTCTCTCGTTGACTCAACTGCTCGCTCTCGCTGCTCTCCCTTCTCGTTGCAATAGCTGCTGCCTTTAGTTTCTGGGCGCCTGTTCTTTCCCTCGAATATCGAATCTCGATTTTCGATGAGATTCTGTTACTAACTATACTGCCGCTCGCATACCATACCCATAAAACCCATCTCCATAAAGCCTGCTTGCCTGCCCCTTGAAAAATTATTTATTTATTATATGGATTACAAATGTGCCTCTTCAAAAGAGTGCAAAAATTTCAGACGGGTCTGGAATTGGAATTCTTCGCATCGGTCGGTTGTCGGCTGTCGGTCGGTCGTCGCACTCACCTTCACCACACACAACAACAAAAAAAAAAAAACATCTCTATATTTCTCTTTGTATTATATGTATATATGTATGTATATGGGGAGGGGGAATGTATATATGTATGTTTGTAAGTCTCACCACACACACACGACAGCAGCTGTCTCACTCGCCCGCCTTGATTTCATCATTTACCATATTTAATTCCATTTAAATGAAAATGAACTCAAACCGATTACCCCGGTGAGAGGTATAGTAGGTAGGCCCCCTCTCACCCATCCTCTATATACCCCTGATATTATATCCCGGGCAGCAGACTTCTGGCAGACAGACGACGTGCTAGCGTCGCGCCTTGCAGCCAGCAACTGAACTGAACTGAACTGAAGTTGATAACGTACAACACACGCGAGCAACTGGCAACAGAGCAATACCAAATGGGGCTACACTATACACAGAAAAAAAAAAACAACAACAACAACAACAGCAACAACTACACTATACCGACGACAACGGCAACGAACCCCAACATTTTCGACAACAACAACAGCCGCCACTCAACAGTCAAGTGCTTGGCAAAAAGCAGCGTGTGAAATGATTCCTATACACAGATCAAAAGAGCTAGAAGTGTAGCAAATATAAAAATACCCTGTATTGATTTTTTTACTAATTTAAATTTGTTACCAAAATTTACTTATTGTTTTTTGGTAAAAATTTTGTTTTTATGGAAATGTTTTATTTTTAAATAATCTATTTGATTTTGTAAATGAATAATTTTCTTACTGAATCATTTTTTACAAGTTAATAATTCTAATTTCATTCAGCGTTTAAAGTATAAATTTTCAAACCATATAGTTTTAAACTTTTACAATCAAAGCAAAAAAAATACATTTGAAAATGTATTACTTTTCTATACCCCATCCGTTGTTCCCCTTTTAGGGGGTATCCAAAGTCGGCTAGATAAACGGCAAAGGCAATAAAAACGAAAAGTAAAACGGACCAACAAAATTGCAAAGCTCTCAACTGAATTCAATGTGCGCGCGCCCCCAAAGCGACGCAACCATTGAGCGTTGAATGAATGTGAATGCTCAAACACACGGCAGCAACAAGGCACCAACACCACTACAACAAACATTCACGCCAGCACACACACAAACACACACACACCACCGCACACAGACACGAGCTGACAGCAAAGTCAGATACTCTCACACAAATCCGAAAACCAGAACACATGATTAGCCTAGTAAAACGAGCCATAGGCGGCCACCAAAAACCTTTCAAGAGGGGTATGTGGGGGCTGGAACTGGCGAAAAAAGGTGTGGGAAAGAAGAAGTGGTGGGGGAGAGGAAGGCAGCCAAGCTTTGGGTGCTTGGACTTCGACTCTCGCCAAAACAAATGCGTCGACATTGCTGGAACAGCACAGTGGGTAAAAATATATCTATTCGGGATTATATAGAGTATTTTAGTGATTGGTATATAAAACATAATATCTTAGCAATGAGATTTTTTTTAATAATTGGCTGTAGTTTAACTTTGCACGTAATAAATATTTATAAAGAAAGGATCTTTTTAGGTTTTCCGTAAAGGCAAATCAAAAAAGTTTGTTATAAAGGGAAAAATGTTTCTTTCTTTAAAAATTTAGCTTAGTTACATTTAAATTTAACGTAAACTACATAGGTTTTCATAAGTATTTCCAAAACATATCATATATATCATTTTCCTTAAGACCCCAATAAGTATGCTATATTTCTATAAGTTGGCCACACTGTGCTTATCATGATGTTTCCTTTTTTTTCCATGTGCGAGCAAAAAAAAAACCGGTTGCACTGTTTACCGACATTTTCCGCAAGAGAGAGTGTCTGCAGTTGGGGAAAGAAGGTGTCAGAGGGAGTCTACAGAAAGAGAGACAGAAAGACCGAGAGAGCAAGGAAGGTCGTCGTGTTGTTGTTGATTTTTCGTTGTCGGCAATCCGAACAAGTGCTCGTCGTTCGTGTGTGTGTTCGTATTTTGCATGGATTTTTGTATAAGTGTGTGTTGAGACTCGAGCTTCTGTGTTGTTGTTGGTATGGCTGCCATAACCGGAAGGTCGCCTTTACCACAACATTTATTATGGAAAATCGCGTAATCACTGTCGTATCACATATTTTTTCTTTTTTTTTTTGTGTGTTCGTCTTACGAGAGAGCAGTGAAGAGAGAGAGATTGAGAGAGCAAAAGGGCAAAAAGGAGGGGACTATATCGAGACATCTCTTTCTGCTCGGTTTTTTTTTTTCGTTTTTATTTTTAGTAGCGACTTCAAACTTGTTGCAAGTTGTTCGCGTGTTTGATATGCGAACTCTGTGCAAACTTTACGCTTCTTCTTTGTTTGTTGTTTTTTTTTTTTTTTTTTTTCTTAGCTTAATTTTTTGTTTGTTTGATTTCTATTTATTCTCTTTGCTTTACTTCTTTTATCAGACTTGCTTATACCCATTCGTCCCCTTTCCTTCTATTTTCTCTCTCTCGCTCGTTTCCCCCATTTTTTACTTTTCTTTACTTTTCCCCCATCTTGCCATTAAAGCTCTCGGGGCCCATCATTTTTGTTATGGCACTCGCTGATTAAATGGAAGGCGGCGGTATTTTACACTCATTCCAATTGGATGAGACGGCTCTCGCTAAATAAAGGGTTGTCGCAAATTTTCCTATAAAAAATTCATACACAAGTCCTCGGGCCAAATAAAGCCATTAAATATATTTTTTCCCCTGGAAATATCATCCTTTTCAGCAAATGTATTAAAAAAAAAAAAGAAGCAATTTTGTTAAGGACTTACGCAGGGCTTGGGAGATTTTTATATTGATAAGAAAGGTTTTAATCAAGAAAAGAAGCATGTTTTTCAAGTTTTTTTGTTTTAAGTTAGCATACCTTTATAAAGTACTATGACATAGACTTTTTGTTAATTAGTTAAACCTTTAAGTAATCTGCACATATTATTTTAAGTAAATTCCGTTATAAGAAGATGGAAACCAGTTTTTAGCTTGTGTCAATTAGTAACTATTTCCCTTAAAATTTAATAGTTTAATACGATTATTCCCACTGTTTTGATGAGAGTTTTTGCATTAACTGACACATTTACTCGCCCGTTTTATTTTTTTATTTTGGAAGCTTTTTTCGGTGTGTGCCAGTTGTTGTTGTTGTCAATTTTTTTTTCGGCCTCACTTTACTTTCGGTTTGAGCTTTGGCGTTGTTACCTTTTAACCTACCCTCTCAAACCCTCTTTCACCCCTCTCCGAAAAAAAAAATCCCCCTACACACATCTATACGTAGAGCTGCAGACATTTTCCAGTTCTGGGGTCTTTGCCGATTTTCCAATGCAATTTTATTCGGTGCAGAGGCGTGGGCGTTGCAAAGTGGGCGTGGTGGCTGGCTAAGTGGGTGTGTGTATATATAATTTCTGTGTGCTTTCCTTTCCTTTTTACTAGTATTGTGAGTGTGTGTGTGTGTGTTTTATTTTTTTTTTTTTGTACTTTGCTGGAACATGGAAAACACACCGTAGGATTTTCTTGCTGCAATTTCATTTTTCGCACTGGAAAATGTCTCTGATGTGGAGCTGGAAAGCTCTCAAGTTGCATGTTGCACGCGTATGTGGACGGTACCCCTTTAGAGCTCCCACTCTCCGCTCGATCCATATCCATGTTTGACCCGGACTTTGGAACCCCCGGACCCGGATTTTGTTACCCGGGACCCGTAGCGCCATTGCTGATGATTTGCAAAGTGGATTTTGTGTATTTGACGATTGTTCGACTTGATGTTGCTGCTGTGCGTTGATGTTGTTGCTGTTGCTGCTGCAGCATTGCAAAACTGGTTACTGATGGCTGGCTGACTGAAGTTGGCAACTATTGCCCTCTCACTCTGGCCTGCATCTGTCTCAAACTGCTGCTGCTGGCTGGTGTAACCCTTTTCTTTTTTTCTTTTTGCTCTTTGCACTCCCTTGGTTATATTGCCCAATAATAAATACACATGCACTTCATATTTTCTTTACATTTTGAACGTTGCCTTCAGGAGATGCAATCATTTCATATCAAACAGGTGCAATATAAATTGGTATGAAATATATATATGGGGTATACCTGAAATCCTTTGTCATGATGATTGTGGTTAACTGAAGTAGTCTTTGATAATTAATGCTTGACATAGTTTTGAAAAAGTTAATAATTTTTTGTACATTGAGATTCCACTTTTCATAGCAGTCTAACGATGTTATTAGTTCTTAAATATCAACCAAATTATTTGGGTTATCAAAGTAATTGTAGCCAATGGTCATCTGATGATGACCGGTGGCATAATCCTAATACTTACCAGTATATATATGTATATATATGCAAATGCATTAATTATATGGCCTAAAACACCGCCTCTTCTTGGCATCTTTTGAACTGTCTTGGCATTATAATTAGCTGAAACACCAGCCTCCGAAAATCTGAGCAATACGTCGTCCCCCTTTGGGTTTTTGGTCTATGTGCCCAGAGCATATACATACAGACATATATATGTATATATGTATATATATATATGGGTATGGGGGCATATATGTGTATGTATGTACTCGTATATTGTGTACATATGCCACGAGTACTGTACACAAGTTTTGCAGTCCATTTTGCTACACTTAAAGTGCGCTTGTTGCCGCCGTTGTTGCTGCCACAGCAGCAACATCTTGCTTCAGCTGTAGTTATTGTTGTTGTATGTGCGTGTGGAATATTATGCGCCGCGCACAACACACACAGATCTATGTGTATATATATATATATATATCTGGGGGAAGGTGGAGGGGAAAGTGGAGTGGGTGGAGAAGGAGGGGAGGTATGGCTCTCGAGATATATACACACAATCCCATCTATAAAACGACGCATACCGCGATTGCGATGCGACGACGTTGCTGCCGTGCTGCTGCCCCTGATGATGTTGCTGTTGCTGTTGTTGTTGTTGTCGTTGCGTCGTCTCGTGGTTGTCGTTGTCGGCCACTTCATCATCGACAAGCAGCAGCAGCAGCAGCAGCAGCAGCAGCATCAACAGCAGCAACAGCAGCCGCAGCAGAGCAGAGGCACAGGCTGTTGGCTAAAACAAAGCAGAGGAGACCCGGACCTCGGCCGACAAAAAGGACGACTTGTGTCCTGTGCAGTGGGGCTCCCCTTTCTCTGTCTGTCTCTCTGCTCTTGATGGCCAAACACGAACAACAAGAACAACAACAATAACAGCAACCATAGTGAGCCTTCTGCTGCTGCTTCTTCTTTGATTACCCTCGAAAGTGACGGAATGGCATGATGAAAACTTGGGTGGTCCCGGAGACTCTCAACTCAATTCTCGGGGTAACCTAATAACTCCTAATTGCTAGACCAATTTAATGCCCTACTTTTTGTAAGGGATACATGGTTTCTTAGCATTCCCTTTGTATATTTATATTTATTACCATGTTACTTCATAAATTAAACTGAACAAAAAACGAAATATTTATAATGACAGACGAATAGGTAATCCTTAGTTTTATAGTGTTTATAACTTACATCCTTATACAGATGTCAAGGGTAATTTAACATTTATTAACATGAGTTTTCCTCCCTTTTAGTAGGGTAATCAAGCTCTACGATATTTCGGACTATAAAATACCCCCACTAAATGAATGTTTCTATGCA